TGTGAGGAGAGTCTGGGTGTAAGTGTCTGGATGTTATGATAAGCATAGGGTGGAAATGCGAAATCAGAAATATAGGTTTGAGGATGTTTGAATGAAACGATCGTGGGTAAGGGTGTCTTCGAAGCTGTGCTGTAGAAGTTGTTCATCTTGTAAGGCTTCTAGAGACTCTTACACCCTGGCATCATCATTATAATAACACTGTTGGAAAGACTTGAGGTGAAATGTGAAAGATGGTGGATGTTGGGTTGAGGGGTCAAACAGTGAATGCGCAATGAAGGGAATGGTCCGCCAGCTATATAAGCAGTCTCCATTCTCTTGCTCTTCCTCCTCTCTGCATCTCTTTCACAACACACTTCTCTCCCTCTTCAACCTATCTTCACCTCTACTTGATCACTCCTGCAACTTGGTCTCGTGCCATCTAACCCCATTAGTCTTGCCTATCTCGCTTCGACTTACATCTCCTCTGCGTCATACGCTTATCTCCAACTCATACCCATTCCTTCAACTCATGTCATCTCGATCCTGTCAATCTCAGCTTTCTTCTTAGCACTCTTGCTCATCACTGCTGTTGATTATCTCCCAGACACGCTCTTCTATCAACACAGTGCTGAGGCCCAACCCAGGCCATCTCAGTTCTGTCGACCTCATTTACTTTCGCATCGATCCTGTTGTTCCCCTTGCCGCACATCTCCCAAGCACTTTATATTAACAGAAAAACCCCCTTTTCAACAAAAGCAAGACGCAGGTGAGAGTCGCTCTTCAACTTTCTCTCTGCCCCTCCATGGCACCATGTCCCTTGCATGGTTGAGACACTAACCTTTGCATTTCCTTAGTCTCCCCCCCAAGATGGGCAAGAAAAACCGAATCAAAGCCAAGATAGACATCAAAATGAGAATCAAGAAGCAAGAATCCGAGATCAGAGACCGGATAGACCACATCCTGGCACTGACCGACCAACGATCCCCCCAGATACAAGGGTTGTGGTTCGAGAACGAAAGCTACAGCGACATCCCGTCCGTGGTGGAGTGTCTGGAAGACGCCCGGCTCGAGCGATCGCCCGAGAGCTATGCGGAGCTCGTCGATCTCGTGGCAAGAAGCATGCCCTCGAAGCGGGAGGGCAAAGACCTGCATCACGAGCATGTCCTCAGCAAGTTCTTGGACTATCTCGAGACCGTGCGCCCCGACTTCGATGCCTTCCGCGCCACGGCGGCCTATCAAGCGGAGTGGAAGACTCTCCTGGACGCCCGCCGGAATATGGAACAGCAGGAGGAAATCGTGCAAGAGGCCGAGGAGCTGCTCGGCGACTGGGGCGAGCGGGGCCGGCAACTCCTGCACATGTATGCCTATTTCACCCGGTGTTGGATCAACGGCCTCAAGAAGGTCTTTGAGCATGGATATTCGTACGAGGAGTGCGTCATTCGCCTGAATCGCGCCGTGCTCTCGCGTCAAATGAAGTTAGGGAGGCGCCGCCCTCGGAAAGTCATGCCGGGTGATGCCTGGACCGCGAGTGAATGCGGTAAAAACCCGGCGCCGGTCACGACGCGGGATCTCGACGACTTTGGCCTGATCATCAATGATCTGGGGCTAGTCGAGTCGAGACGCCAGCATGAGAGGGCCCAGCTTGCTGCTGCTCAAGATGGTGAAGACCAGTCTGCAAACCAGGTCTCTCGCCCGGCTGACGTCGATGACGATGATGATAATGGGCATGGTTATCGCTCGCGCAAGCGCCGTCGACTGTGAAGACTATCGTGGGTATTAGTGGCAGATGTGACATGTTTTCCTCTTATGCGTTCTGTGAGTTCATGGCCAGGACCGATTGATGATATCGTGTTGGCTAGGTAGATTGTCGTTGTTTTGTGAAATTGTCATGATCTTTTACTTGTTAAGCTGTCCCAAGATACTCAGAGATTATGCTTTACTGTTCTGGAAGGCGGATCTATATTTGGCTTCAGTCACGCTGTACTGTAGAGAGAGCACTCCAGCATCACCTTTAACAGCACAAAGTCCATCATCCATGGCAGCGAGTGCCGTTACTTTCAAGTTCACCGTCAATTCTCCATAAATTTCTATCAAGACAATTACAACTGAAAAGGATGAGGATTATCCCCATTTCTCGTACTGCAGTCTGTCATTTCAACGTAACATCTATGTACTGACCATCCACGATATTTTTAGCAGCCCCATCCCATCATTAGCTCATTAGTCACATCAAGAAACCCATAACCAAGTTCTAATGGGCCTTGGTAGCATAAGGACTTCTGTCCCGCAAATACTGCCCATACAATCCCAACAGCATCGCCGCCGGCAGCCCAATCCCCAACCCGATGAAGCCCAGCAGACTCCCCGCCCACCCATACCCCAACGTCGAGTACCTGCGAAAGCATCAGCCCTAGCTCACCACAAAAAGACTTCGACCGGAAGAACTCACATATAGGGAGCGAACATCGGAAAGGTGAAGCCCGCAATACAGCGAATCGTCGACACGGCCGCCAGCCCACTGGCGGCATATCGGCCGTAGGTATCGATCACATACGCATTCACGGAGATGGTGCAGGCCAACGCGCCGGCGACGAAGATCGAGGTGCCGATGTTCGGCATGATCCAGTGCAGCCGCTTCTCGGCGGACCAGCCGTACCAGAACATGCCGGCGCTGAGGAACAGGGTGGCGGGGAGCATGATGGGGATGCGGAACTCGGGCAGGCCCTTGCCCCCGTTGCGCCGGGCGAGGGTGCGGTAGATGCGGTCGTTGACCAGCGTGCAGCACTCGGCCGCCAGCGCCGACCCCACCGCGATCGAGATGTAATTCAGCCCCGCGATCTCCGTACGCTCGCCGTACACCTCCGTCCACAGGTCCACAAAGTCCGCGTACAGGATGTAGATGTTCCCGTACAGGTAGGCGTTGTACAGCGCCAGCACCTGGATGATCGGCTGCGTGGCCAGCAGCCGGAACGGCCGGATCAGATTCGTCGACAGCTTCTTCAGGCGGCCGGCGTCGAGGTAGTCGTAGTCTGTATAGAGGTTGGTTGCGCCGGTGGTTTTGGTCAGTTGGGCTTTCTTGCGTCGGAGGAGGAGCGGCGGGTAGGTTTCTTCCAGGAAGAACAGCCCGGACAGCTGGATGGCCACGCTGAGCAGCGAGGAGGTGTAGAAGGTCCACTGCCAGCCGGTGTTCTGCGAGATGAAGCCGCCGATCACGGCCCCGACCAGGGGCGCCAGGATCGGCGACCAGCTGTAGATCGCCACGGCTTTGCCGCGGTCTTTCGCGTGGAAGAGGTCGCTGAGCGTACCGCCGCCGATCTGGGAGACTGTCAGTGACAGTCGCTGAGAAAGGCTGGGGTTAGTCACATACCCCGAGGGTGGCGCTTCCGCAGAGGCCGGCGACAAAGCGCAAGACGATGATGGCTTCCTTGGTGCGCGCGCCGCCGCACGCGGCGTTGAAGACAATGTACATGAAGTTCCAGGACTGGACCACTCGCACCCGACCGTAGATCTCGGACAGCGGACTGGCGACGAGGGGCCCGCACGCAAAGCCCAGGAGGAAGATGGAGAGCACCATTTGCTCGACCGCCGGCTGGGTGATGTTCAGGTCGGATGCAATGGCCGGCAGTGCCGGAGCAACAATGGTCGACGACAGGGGACTCATGAAGACGAATGAGCTCATGGCAAAGATCGCCTTCCATTTGCGCATCGCACTCCAGTTCTTGGGGTTTTCGGGGTCGTCCTCGCCCTCCCAGGTTACCTGGTGGGTGTCAGGGTGAGCAGATGTTCGGCGCAGTCGACATAGTTGGGAAGAAGACTCACTAGAACTCTGTCGGACTCGACGGTGCCATTCTCTAGGTCACCTTCTGTTGCCACCTTCTCCGACGACTTCTCTGGCAGTGATGAGTCTGTGGATGGTGTTGGATTCGCATCTTCGTGTTCGTTGATGGTGTTCAACCGCTGCAGTAATTTTCTGATGTTCATGGCTGATAGAATCTCCCTATGTTCCCATTAGACTCAACAGGGACTGGCATGAAATAAATTGCTCGTGCAGGCTAGTCCAGAGGATTAAAATATCAGATTGAATTTGTCGAGATGGTGGATGTAAACTAATATGCAATATGCACCAAAGCACTAAACTGCGGTGAGCCCGAGTACTCCGATACAAGTCCGATACACGTCGTGTATTTCATTCAAGTCCGGTCCATCACAAACCTTTAGAGGAAATGTGGGTGGAGAAGAAAACTGATTTTTTTTTGGTTACGTTCTTCCTGCTATCTCGACTATCTCGACTATCTTTCAACATTTGCCAGGCTT